TACAAATAAAATGTATATGCTAGCCTATTTAATTCACTCGAAACAACTTTTAAAGGTTAAAATATAAAATAATCATGTAAGTAATATAACGTATATACATATTTACATAAATTAATTATAGTATTTTTGTCTTAATCATTTTGCATAATTACTATTGCTATAATTTTTTTTAGTTCTTCCGATAGACTCTTAACAATCAAATTTTAATTTTATCTGACATTCTACTATTGGCTGGCTTTATCAATTCCAGCCTCATTCACAAAGAATTTGTTATTCAATAAAGTAACAAAATTTGAAGATTTCATAGAATGTCCAACTAAAATTCTATGATTATCATTAATAAAATCACAAATTTTTATAACCAATCTTTTCAATAGAACCACATTTTCTCGTTTGTCAAAAGATACACCCCAATTTTTTAAAAAATTGGTTTAAACTATCAGGTCCAAATCTTCATCTAGCTGAAATATTTAATTTTTTCAAAGTACTAGATAAAATTTTCCAATCTCTGGTAAAATATCGTTAACATCAAAAATATCTTATATTACTATAAATATATAAAGTTTTCAATTTTTGCAATTATTTAAAATTCCAAATAATTCTCCAATTTCATTTGATCGATCATGGCTCCAAGTCATACTGGATTGGGACAATTTCATCGAGATAGAATTTAATATACTTGCATAGCCTTCTTGTCTACAATCTTCAGGCCAACCAAAAAGTATTTCTTCAAGATTCTGGTAACTGGCTAAAATTTCATAAAAAAATTTTTAGTTAGACCACAAAAATGGTTTCTTGGTTAAATTTGTTATTTATGGCAAATTTTAACCGCCTGGGATTACTGTATGGCGCTGACTACAGTACCTTCCTGCTATAATACCCCATAAAAAAAGACCGGGTATTTTTCATGGTGACACACAGTATGTGGTTTGACCAATTTGTAGAGCTAATTTGTATTCGAATTCCCGCAATTTCTACCGTGATTTACTGTATGTACAAAACTTACAGACTATTGAAATAACACACGGCATGTAGTTTGTATAGTTAGTTTATATTCTGATTCTCGTGATTTCCGCCATGATTACTGTATATAAAAAATCATGTTACAAAACTTACTTGCTATGGGGACACACAGTATGTGGTTTGGATAATGTATAGGGTTAATTTGTACTCAAATTCTCGTGATTTCTACCGTGATTTACTGTATGTAAAAAAAAAAATCTGTTACAAAACTTACGAGCTATACAGTATGTGATTTAGATAATTTGTAGGGTTAGATGGCACATAGTATGTGGCTTAGATAATTTGTAAGATTAGTTTGCATCCGAATTCTCGTGATTTCTACCGTAATAACACTGTATGTAAAAAAAATTCTGTTACAAAACTTACAGACTATTATAGTATGTGGTTTAGATAATTGGTAGGGTTAGTTTGTATTAAATTCTTGTGATTTCTACTGTGATTTACTGTATATAAATATTTATTAATGTTCATTATATTTTCATTTAATTTTTTTTATCCGAATAATTTGATATATGAGTGTGAAGAACATTTATCAATATAAGCATTCAAAATAAATCATTCAAGTTCATAATTAGCACTAGTACAAAATTTATTTATTAATCTAAGAATTTAAATAAGCCACCCAAATTTATAAATATTTTTTATTTATAATTTGATTTCAGATTGAGTATAATTTAGTGTATGAACATGAAGAACAGTTATTAATCTAAGTTTATAAACATTTATTCATTTCATTTTATTTGCGATGTAAATATGTATAAAGATAATTTATTCTAATTGGGAACGGATCGGACAAAAATTAGCCAATCGTATGAATCAAATAAGCGATCACCTGGCAGACTACGACGTTCGATCTTCTAATTTGGGATGGCTCCCTATTACTAATAATAAGCTCATGGTATTTAGTGAAAGTACATTATCTGGTTTAAACTAGCTTTTCATTTGTGCTAGTGTATTGAATTTATAGTCAAGACCTTTATTATCCATATAATGCAAAAAAAAGAAAAAAAAAGGTTAAAAAAGCCCACACACATAAATGAAATATAGTAGTATAAATAACTTTACCAGAATATTACACACATAAATGAAATATAGTAGTATTATTAACTTTACCAGAATATTACACACATAAATGAAATATAGTAGTATAAATAACTTTACCAGAATATTTGAAAAAGTTCATTTTTATCGACCCGTCTTGCGATCTAAATCCAACGCAAGGATATAGAATGCCTTCAACTTTGTCAGGTAGATAGCATGTAATTCCTTTAAATGTGTTATAAATAAAATGTGTTATAAATATTAAATTTGCCAACTAATTTAATACCTAATTTGCGTCGAAAATATAAATTTTAATTTCTAAAGTACTAATTACCTAAGTTGACTCCATTATTAGTATAAAATGCCATCTTATTTTTAAAATTTAAATAGCATCCGACTGTATCACCAGTAGTATATGGTGGTCCATATGACTCAACGTTTCCAGGATAAAATAGTCACATTCCCACGATTCATTTTCCTTATTATTGTAATCTTTCTTATTATTCTTATTATTCTTATATTCCTGTCCTAAGGGATTTTATTTATAGGTGTTACAGTAATCTACAACAATAAGAAAATCAAATAAAAGTCTATTACCAAGCATGGGCGTGTTATTTATATAATCTGATTCCATATTTGAATAGTCTATTTTTTATCGCTTGCTTTGTGCAATATCCGAATCCAATCATTCTATTAATAATAAATTGTGTTGAAAATTACATGCACAAGCAGAATGGTAATGTTTATAAATGAAATAATTATTAATGTTACCCATTTTTTCCGTTACCTATGATTTTAATTTCAAAATAAAATATCTCACATTGTGGGGGGATTGGATAATTTACTCGAACTATAACAGTTTTATCAACAGGATCTTTAATCAAATTAACATTCATTAAATTGAGATGTTGTTCAACCTAACTTGATCTAATCTCTTTTTCATCTTACCCGTATAATTCACTTTAAGTCCGTTTGAGTCTATGCTAATAAATGCTAATAAATGGTGATTTATCTTCAATATCCTATGCATTTGGTGAAACAATATCATTGTATGAATCTTCCATCGGGTTAAGTTTCTATTCAGATCTTTTGTTTAGATGATTAGTAAACCAAACAAATTATGCAAAAGCAACGTGTGTAATTATCGATTTTGTGCGTGTGTACAAGCTATTTCAGTATTGTAATAGATATCAGTGTTATCAGTGTTGGCAATTTTAGACTATATCCAACTTTATATGGCCAAAGCGGTCATAATGACTTTAGGTATCTAATATAGAAATAACTTCTACGTACAGTACTCAGTGTTGGCATTTGGACTATGTCCAAATAAAATTTTAATTGGATATGGACAAATATGGACATGGACTAGTCCAAAAAATGTCCATGTCCAAATAAAGAGTCGAATACAAAAATGCTTCGTGTAACTTCATGGACCAATAAAATCACTACACGTGACATATTAAATTAGATCGCGTAATGTAATATTTTATTTCTCATAACTTTTCTGACTACGTAACATATTCGTGACTTCCTTTTTTATCAACCCCATAACATTTATAATCATTATCATATACTTTCATATTCGCCAACATTATCAATTAACAATGGGTGGGAAAGAACAGGTTCAAAAATTGTATCTGAACAATTAGAATGCGAATATGATCAATTTAAAGTAATGGCAAAGTAATTAATATTCATACATTGACATGTTTGGGTAGATAATGCACCATTTATCTAACAATAAGTCACTATTTTTAACTAGTGTTCAGACTTATGCAATTTCGGAAATTTGCCATTGTCCAAACAATGAAAAATTCCAGAAGTTGCATAAGTCTAGACATTCTACTTTTAACCCAGAGCGGAATTATGCACAGAATTCTGAATATTCTACTGATGCCATGTATTTGTAAGAAATAATCTAACTATATAATGTTAGATAGTAATAATCACAATAGAGTCTATCTTAGTAAATTTGTTGAATGATAGATTGAGCTGAGAATCGTTAGAATATTATAACTTCTGATTGTTATTTGTGCATTTTGTTTATTTGAGACTGGTTTAATGAAGAAAAATTTAATGTTAGTATAACGTAAAAAGGCATAGGCCTAAAAAAAATATCCTGCATCATAATAATACTTTATGCATTCTCAAACAACTCTCTTGCAAGTTCAACAAAGAATTTGATCAGCTGTCTATTAGACAGATTGATCAATTCTTTGTTAAGTCTATTGAGAGAGTGCTTGAAAATGATCCTTATTTGAGTGGTATGATTACCATAATTACAGTTGTCTTGGCTTATTTGCAGACTAAAAAATAAAAGGCTCTATCGTATAATATAGATAAATTCAGTAACAATCAGTAGTACTTATCATAATTACGATTGTCCTCCTTTTTTAGCTATATTGTTCTCTACATTTACCATATTAAGTGATTATTATAATCACTTGAAACTTGTCTACGTATAATACCACTTAAAGATTAGTTTAGAAATTTATTAATTCAAATTATAATAATTAAGAACATAGATAAAAATAATAAATAGATAAGGAGTTCAGTTCTTAGAGATAAAAGTTTAATTAAAAAACCAAGTATATCTCAAAGCCGTGCATTGATAATTCTGCTATTTGAATTGTCTTTACTTACCTATTATATAAATATGGGCAAACAACCCCATCGTCTAACAGAATATATAATTGTGCTTGATGAACAAGCAAATAAAAGCAACAAATTCTGTATTTGTCAAGAATGCGTATTTGGTTCTTCTTATGAAGAAGCATATAAGAATAAGTTTGCAAACACACAAGAACTTGTTCGCCGCCACTTAAAAAATTGCAAATATTTTAAGCAAAAATATAATGAATCTGAACAGGCAGAAATTTTAGCCAAATCAGATAAAGTGGATTCAGCAACTAATAATTGTAAGCGTAATTAATTAAATACAGTATTATTTACTTATTATATATATAAATATCATTATTTTTAACTTAGCTTTTCAAGAAAGTACCAATAATAATTCTGCTACTGGATCTGAGATTTCTTCAACTGCTAACTCTCTTCAGTCAGATAAGTTTCGAGGTAAAAAAAATAACATAGATCGATATTTATTACGACCTTTAAGTGAAGATCAACAGAAGCATTTCGAACAACTCCTACTTAAAGCAACTGTTTCATGTGGTTGGGCTTTTTCTTGGATTGAAAACTCTGAAATAAAGATGCTCTTTGAGTTTCTCTATCCACCAGTTAAACTGCCCTCACGAAAAAAGCTTGGTGGCCGAATTTTAGCAGAATATGCACAAAATACAACTAAATCAATTAAGGGTAGAGTGTATGTCGATCATTTATCATATGATCTCAGTGGTACAACGGGATTTTATGCATAAATTAAAA